GTTTGAAATTTTTATAAACCAAACCGAACCACGGTTTACGGTTTGGTTCGGTTTCAAACCACGGTTTGTGATTTACAAAATAAAATGAATTAAATTCACTATTTTTATAAAAATTTTAACATAATTTTTCTAAAAATTGGTCGTCCATTTTTTCCCCAACATGTTTAACTCAATAAATTCATTATTTTTATTAATTAACTATAGTAATTATACATTTTATAATAAATATATTTATATCATTTTATAAAATTTTACTATTACTAATAGAAATTACACTCTAAAAAAGAAAAATAATCAATTATTAAAATGAATATAAACATAAAAGATAACAAAAAGAAAAAATATACAGTCAAATAATAAAAATATACTATATATATAAAGATAAAATTTTAATTTTGTATATATATAAGTTATACGGTTTGGTTCGGTTTCATACGGTTTGTCCAAATATCAAATTCAAACCAAACCATACTCTACGGTTTGGTTCGGTTTCATACGGTTTGGTTCGGTTTATGCGGTCTAATCGGTTTGGTTCGGTTTGTTGAACACCCCTAGGATCTTCTACACATTGAACCGAGCACAATATTTAATGAACCAGTAAGAAAACCCACAGAACCGGGAGTGAAACCCATTAAACCGGTCTCAAACCAATGAACCGGCCTTAATTCCCTTAATTTTGCCATAAAACCCCTTGAACCGGTCTTAAACCGATTGAACCGGTCTTAAAGTGTATAGAACCAACCACAAAAGTCAATGAACCGGACTTAGAATCACTGAACCGGTTAGTCTTTGCCCTGAACCGGCCTTAAATAGATTAAACCGATGGTTTTCTAATTTTCTATTAATTTATTTAATCTTGGACCGGCTGGTTCACCATTGAACCGGTCGGTTTAGCCTTGAACCAGCCACTCATCATGTAGGTAATTTAATTATCTACATTTTGGTGCCTTGAACCGGCCAAGAACCGGCCTGGAAGGGCCTGAACCGGCCAGTTTTATGTTTCTGTAATTTTCTGATTTTCATTTTCTTATTTTCTGTTTATTTAATATTTTCTGGGCCAAATCCAGAACTTGAATCCGGCCCCTTGGCTGGGTTCTGGTTTTCTGGTCTGGGCCTGGCCCGTTGGCCATGGCCTAGATCTAAATATATACATAAAATTTCCAATCTGGCCCAGAAACATCGGGGCTGGCCCAATTTTTTTTTTTTTTTTAAAACCCAAGCCTTGATAACCCGGATCAACCCGATTCATTCGGATTGTTTCTCCTCTACCCATTTCCGCCGAAAACCAAAAACAGAAATAGCCAAGAACTTACCTGAATATCCCAGCCGAAATCTGAGAAGGAAGTTTACACTTGAATCCAACCAGCCGACCGACCTTCACAGTGGATCCAATCAAGCCCAAAACCTTCAAATGGTGATGGATTTATCCTAGAACTAATCGAACCAGGGGACAACCCAGCAATTGACTCTTCCAAAAATCTGAGAATTTGAAGCTTCGATTTACAAAATCACTTTGGGGCTTTTGGTGCTAATTTAGAGGCGATCCAAACTATAAATAAGTTTTAATTTGAACGGTTTGTTTTTAATTCCAAATTAAAGAGGCAAACCTTCGGGTCCGAACGTCTGTATGTTACAGACGTTCGGATCTTGAATTTAAATTTTTTTTTTCCCATTCAGTCCTTCAGGTTTTCTAAATTCTCCTTTGGCCCTTGGGATTTTACATGGATTCTCCTGTAACTGGTTTTGGGAAAAGTAATTTTGATGGAGAAACAAACAAAGATGGGAGGAGTTGGTGTTGGTGTCGCCATTAGAAACGAACATGGGTAGATCTTAGTCTCTTCAGTCAAAAAACAGAATTACATATACAACGTAGAACATGCGGAATTCATAACTACTCGACGAGTTAAAGAATTGACACTGGATCCAAATCTCAAGGTGGTTGATCTAAAGAGTGATTCAAGTGATACAATTAATTATCTGAACAAAATTTTAATTCTCCTATTGGACTTAGAGCATATAATATCTTACCTACTTCTATTTTTCCTTCATTTCTCAGTTGGGAAGTAACATTAGTTAGAAAATATTGAAACTTGTTAACTCACAGTCTAACAAATCTAGGAAAAGACCAAGAGAGAAATTGTATTTGGATGAAAAAAATTACGTCCTCAATCTCAGGCATTTTGACTCTTGATTTTCCTGAATCAATCTAAGTTTCCCTTTTCTTTCTAAACAAAAAGCCAAGTGATTTCTTACCATAATGAAAAAAATAACAACACGAAAGTTGGAATATAATTTCGTCCTTCGAACCAAGGCTGGCTTCATCATAAGGCAGGTAAAGTAATTACTTTATGTTCCCAAATATTTTAGGACTCAAATTTTAGGATTTTATAAGTATATTAAATTTTAAATAATTATAAATTTTTTTTTAAAAAAAACTAGTAACAATTAATATTATCCAAATTAATTAATCAAATACTATATAATCACTTCCTCATAACTGCTGATTTTTTTCTCTTTATTTGTCTTATAATTAAAATATTCTATTTTTAGAATAATTATTTTATAATTTTAATATTCATTTATCTCAAAACTTCTATTTTTTCTCCGTAATTATTTCTTTCAAGTTTCCAATTCTTATGTAAAATTCTATCTATTTTATTAGAATTTTTTAGCGTTCGCCTTCTAACAATCCTCTTGTATTTGTTTCATTAAATATTTTTAATTTTTGTATAAAATCAAATATTTTAGTTTTAATTTAATCACTTTCACAAGTTACTCATATTGAAAAAATTGAGTAAAAACATTTAATTACTAATTTTGCATACTAAGAAATTAGAAAAATAAATTTTTAATAACTTTATATTAATTTTATTAAAGTCTTGAAATCATTAAGCCATCCCTACTCTGAACTGAAGCAAATTGTTTCTCTCCTCGACAAAGTTGATTTAGTTTCTATTTTTTAGAACAAAATTTTTAGTTAAAAAATAGAGCTCATTGTCCAAAAAGTATTTACAAAATAATATATAAAATGATTTTACAATAAATGAACCATAATATCAAATTTATTGTTAATTTCTGTGATTATGAGATTCTAACAAATATAAAGTGTTTTGGAAAGACTATTCTTTTATATAATTAGACATGTAATTTTACATAAAAACAAGTTTACACAGCCTTGCTCGCACAACTTCAACCATAAACACCACTTACTTGTCACAAACAAAAGCCCCTTGCCCACAACTGCTATCAAACTAATGTTGACATGATAAACCGGATTTACTCAAGAATTTCTCAAACCCTTAGAAAGTACTTAACTATTTTAGTACTTAAAATTTTAAACACTTAATTTTCAGTTCTATCAAACAAGAGCTATTAAAAGATTGCAATTACGTTAAAGAATGAATATTTCCAATTACTGACTCATATATGGTAGCAGCATAATGATTTGAGTTAAAATGGGTTAATACTCTTCCTTAAATAAATTTGACATTTTAAACTACTCCTTAAAAAAGTGTTCTATACTGCAATTACCCAATTCATCTTTTGCACTATTATATAAGCAAGAAGCATGGAAACTAGTAAGAACCAAGTTACTCCTTTTAAAAGTGTTAAAAAATAATAATAATTACAAAAGTGCTGAAAATATAGAAATTAGAGGTGTTTGTAAATTTTACTGAAAAATAATAGATGCAAATAAATGACTGTTTAGTAAAATAGTTGTAATAATTGCTTATTATATCAAAATATCTAAATTATTCATTCATTTAAAAAGTGAAATATTTAGCGACAAAATATATTTTGTTATATTATACAGACAAATTTGATGTTATTAAGATAAAAAATTTAAAAATTATTAATAATTATATAAGTTATTAGTGACTTTTAATAATTTTTTCAATATTTTATATAGTTACTGTTATATAAATTATTAATAATTTTTAAAAACATAAATTTTGACATTCTCCTTTCTAATATAATTTTAATTCCAATTCAAAATTATAATTTTATTTGTTCCTAAATTCTAATTTAATTTTTGATGTAGTCAAAGCAAATTAATCATATAATACCAAAAAATTGGGAGTATGTTTAGGTTTTTGTGTTCTTAATTGGTAAAACGTAAGACGAAAATTCAATAAAAATATTAGATATGTATTTTTCAAATAATATTTTAAATTATTTAAAAATATATCATCACTTATAAGAAGTTGGTTGTTAGATGCTTCAGCTTTAACTATTTTCTGCCAATATTTAGAGAAAAATAGTCCATCAACAAATAACCCAAAAGACATGCAAAAACACTTTTTTTTTTTTTAGCTAGAAACAAAAAACTGCTGAAACACAGCTCTCCCAAACAGGCATTAAATCACAGGAAGAAAATCACACTGAAAAACTTCAAAAATAAAGATTGATCAGTAACATTTCACATAGTGGCAGTGTTGTTATTAGCACTAGAATAAGCATCACCACTGCAAAGATCATGCTCATGCTTACATGACAAAGTTCTCATAATTGTTGGGTGTGTGTAGTTTTGACTTCCTTATTAATACAAAAAACTTGTGGGTTTAGCTTCACTCCCCGGTGTCCACATCAGCTGTAGTAAAGTCTAAGTGTGTGTGTTTAAGTCTTATCTAAGTTAGACATTTTAAACTCTTAACTTAAGTTTGATTTCCTTATTAATCAAAATATATATAAATAAATAAAAGTTATCGTAACCATTGGAAGTGTAAGCAATCACATCTAAAAAGGTGTTTTCTCTTACCAGCCAAGTCAGACTAGGGGTAAGCATAGTACAATACCAGAAAAGACAGGAGCGCAAAAAATGGCAACCCCGGCAGAAAGTGCAAACTAACAATCAGAGCAAGTACAACGACCAGCTGGAACTTCCTCGTAAAGCGGATGAACTTCTGAAGGCCAAAATGCGGCCTTTCCAAATTAAGCCTAATATTTAGGCGGCTAAGATTATTTCTAGCAGAACTTGAACGTTCTAGGCAATGAGTACCTCAGGCCCATATGAGGCTGTTGTTGATCGCCTGATTTCCAAGAGTTGAAGGGCTTCTTGGTGAAAAAACTGAGTCAAGAGACTTCATTCTGTTCTCGTTTAAGCTCTCAATCATCCAAAGAAGGAAGAAATTCTTGCTAGGAAATTTCAATTGTCCTTTGTAAACTAGTCTCGGTGTTAACAAGTGGCACCATGGGCAGAAAATAAAGAAGGGAATATGAATTTGTATACCAGTGAATCTCAAAAGGGCCCTACTAAGGCTTAAGATGCAGTTTTTGCAGAGCGTGTGGCCACACCATAAGACATAGGGTATATTCTCAACAATGTTAAAGGATTCCCAGCATATTGGGCATTCCAATCCATCTTCGGCATTGACATTTGAAGAGGTTTCATCATCTGAGTATTCTGAACAAACTTGAATGAATTCATCATGGTTTTTCTTCCATCCAAGGCTTGGAGTGGCGTTAGGGAATGAAGCCCACATATTAAAAGAAAGGTACCAGGGTTAGTATGAGAGTGTGCTGCTTATAGGCTTTCTTTATTCAATTTGAACTGCAAAAACAATAATATAGTCAGTTATCAGAAAATAACACATTTTTTCTCTTGGCCATAACATAAGCAATAATAGAAGTCCACTACATGGTTTAGCTGTCAGCAGGTGACATCCCTCTAATTAAATCAGTAGACAAAGGGACACATCAGAAAGACAGTAAAAAGATAATCCATGTAATCATGTAAAATATCTATATATTAGATGCATCAAGGAGCAACACTAAGTTAAATAAAGGGAAAAAAATTACATGAGATGTAATTTTGGACTTCCAGTAAAAATTGTGGTAAAAATGAAGAAATAAGACAAAGGGATACAAATGATCTTGGATCAATATTCATCACTGAGGGGAGGGGTTGGTTAATAAATAGAATGGAGTAAGTATAAAAATTCTTTTTAACACATGCTTATGAGATAAAAAGAAAAGTTAACAAGGGAACTATAAGAAAGTAGATCTTAGAGCATTCAAGTGTTTGGCAACTGAAGACAGCATGTTGACAAAGGGTTGTGGCTGATTTGAGGATGCTAAAGCAGAAATGTGATAAAACAGGGACAGAGTCAACAGACAGTGTCAGAAATTAACAAACTCAAAATAGAATCAGCACTAGTAACAATAAAATGAGAGAAAAACACCAAGCTAGAAAAAAAAGATACATAATCCAAAATAATGATAACAATAGGATATGGAAAAGGAAATTAACTTGGGTTGAAGTAACAGGAAAAATAAGGCCATGCTGCTTTGTTGCTTAATCAAAAGATTCAAAACTATAGCAATAAGATTCATTCGGCGAAGTGAAGAAGCTGGGAAAGACTTTAGCTAGTTGTGCGGGCATTACGTACTAGCTATTTTGGTCAAACTGATGATAAACAAATTGGCACTTGTTTAAAACAGTTTCCATTCCCTCCTTCATAAGAGCAAGTGAAGAAGAATTTCAGGTCATCAAATTATGTTTTGGCATGAATGAAGAAATGACACCATTTAACTTGCACACAGCATTGTGGTTTAACTTCAGTCAGAGTACAGTCAAAAGCAATTGAATCATAACCATCGAAGGAGCCATCTTCATTCATGAAAATTGGCTAGCATTATTGAAAACTTGTTTATTCTACAATATGTTGATGGATTGGAAATGCATAGTAAACAAATCTCATTTAAAAATGTGAAAGAAAAATTTATGAATTGAAGTAATATACATACCAAAACGTTGAGCGAGTGAATAAACTTAAGCCTCTCTTGAAATAAGAGAGATAAAGCATTGAACAACCTTTCCCAATCCTGGGATCTCACAGCCTGAAGGACTTGCGTTAAAAATACATTCCCAGAAAAGTTGTTTGTTCACATGTATGCACATACTCCCCAAAGCTGTATATTGATCTTGAATTTGTGGAGATAAAAGAAAATGGGATGGAAGTGATACCAGCATATGAGAACATTTAATATGAGAGGAATGTTTCTAATATGCTAATACATTACTTGGCTGGGTCAGATGAATTGAATGTCAGAAAAGTTTCTATTCAATATTTCATGAAAAAATAAAAACCCGTGAAAACTTTGATTTCCCTTCTTTGTTGTATTTCTTAATTGCTCAAATCACTGATCTAAACGTGGCATTGGCAAAAGGAAAGTGATTTCAAGTTTGACGATATCTGCACCAAAAAAAAAGTGAGAACACAATTTATGAATATACCCAAGCGAAGGCCAAAATTTTAAGTATTTGCCAACACCTTTTCTCCTCTGATAACCTAATAAATTAAGTCCTAATAATTCACGTGACCTGTGTACAGAAATATATAGAAATTTGACATGGCAATCTGCATAATCAAAAGTATCAACCATAAACACGGTGAACTTCTATGATGTAAGTTCATATATAATGAAATAAACTTATAAATAAATGAAATTAATGGAACGAAAAGGGGAAATTGAGAGGCAATAAGCTTACCATTTGTTATTGAGGTTTGATTCCAGAAGCCGGTGAGAGGAAGTGGCAGAGGAGAGGTCAACCAGAAGAAAAAGAAGAGGAAGAAAAGGGTTTCTTCGCCCCTCTCCCTGTGTCCCTCACCCCCTGCCGGAGAAGAAGGGAGGAGCTTCCGCCAACGACTCTACGACGTATGTATATATATCGGGGACTCCAGGCTGCTTGGGCCGCGAAACAACGGGGCTTTAGCGGGGGGCTTCAATTTAAATATGAAGTAAAGCAATGTTTGGATATCCGGGCGCAGAAAACAGGAAACGTCCACTCTCTTCTGCAATTTATCCGTAAATGCACCGCCCCACCTTTTAATTTCAAACATTAGGTTAGGTGTGTTCGCGGATCAGTTTTGTTTAAATTGATATTTAAATTTAAATTAAATTATATTTTATAATTTATAATTTTTTATACATCAAATAGAATTTTGATTTATAATTTTGTTTGATTTCAAATTACAATATGTAATTTACAAAATAAAATAAAATAAATTAATTATTTATATAAAAATTTTGACATAATTTTTTCAAACATTGGTCATCCATTTTTTTCAATATTTTAACTTAATAAATTTATTATTTATTAATTAACTATACTAGTTATATATTATATAAGAAATATATTTATACTATTTTATAAAATTTTACTATTATTAATAAAAATTACACTCTAAAAAAATTAATCATTAAAATAAATATAAATATAAAAGATAACAGAAAGAAAAAATATACAGTTATATAATAAAAATATACTATATATATAGAGATAGAATTTTTAAATTTGTATATATATAAATTATACGGTTTGGTTTGGTTTATACGATTTATCTAAATATCAAATATCAAACCAAACCAAACAAACTATACCGTTTGATTTTGTTTAAGTATGGTTTGGTTCGATTTATATAGTTTAACGGTTTAGTTTGGTTTGTTGAACACTCCTAATCTAAATCACTACGATATAGGGTCTTCCACGAACTAATCAAATTGTTTAGACCAGTGTCCTTATAGTTTAATTTAATTTAATTCAATTCAAAACTTGAGCCTAATAATCTTAAATCCTCACCTTTCTTATTGATTTCTTGTGTTTAAATACATTTTTATGTTGTATCTATGACATTATGTGCATCTCATGATATTTGCATTCATTTTATGTGCATATAAAATTTCTAATAAAAAGGGGGGCAAAAGTGAAACTTTTAAATAAGATAAGGGTAAAAATGAAAATTTTAATAATTTATAAATTTTGTAAGTTAAATGTTTAAATTTTAAAGCCTTCATTCAGAAATTTGAGAATAAAAGAGACAGTTGGAATAAATAAATTTACAAAAAGATAATTTCATAATTTCACCAAGTAAGTTAAAAGAGAAACAAAATAATAATTTCCCCAAGGCTTACTCTCTTGTCTCACCCTTTTGGTCGACCAAACGAAGACAAAACGCAAAGAAAAGCAACGCAAAACACATATGTACATGTGTACAAGAAAGTCAAACCATTAGCTAATAAGATTATGTTGTGTGTCATGGTACTTAATGCATGTTGGCCCTCTTCTCTCTATTATTTTCTCTCTAATAGTTATACCAAAAAAGGAAGAAAAGAAAAGGGGAAAGAAAAGGAGAGGAAAAAAAGAAGAAAAAGAAGAAATTCTTAACCCTTTTCAAGGTAAAATTTCTTGCTGAATTCAATTGCCTCGGTTAAATTATGTAATTTTAAATAGAATTCTTCATATATTTCAAGATTTATTCTATTAGATTCAAATTTTGGGGATTTGAGATAAGTAAATGGCAAACAAAGGGGAGGGGGGAATTTCGGCCATAAAGGGGAAGAATTCCTAAGTTTAAAACTCTTGAGATTCATGGTAGAACTCCCAAGATTTGTGGTTCTATACATAGGTTATGAGAATCTCAATTTAAGACATGTATAAACCCAAGAACTAACTCCTCCTTCAAGCTTAAAGTTTTTATGTTCTGAGAATATCAAATGAAGTTATGCGAGACATACAAGAAGAAATTAGAGAAAGAATGAATGTTAGAGAGCGCGCGCACACCCACACACACATGTATACATATATGTATATCTTATTTTGGAAATAATTAACCACTAAATGGAAATTAGTGGATTTGATGAAGTATTTCCTAATTTAAGAGAGTTAATTGAGAAATTAGACTAGAGGGAAACCAAATTTAAAGAAGGACTTAATTGAGAAGGAATTATTCCCCTTTTATGGCCGAAATTCCCCCCTCCCCTTTGTTTTCCATTTACTTGTCTCAAATTCCTAAAATTTGAATCTAATAGAATAAATCTTGAAACATATGAAGAATTATATTTTAAATTACACAATTTAACTGAGGAAATTGAATTCAACATGAAATTTTACCTTGAAAAAGGTTAGGAACTTCTTCTTCTTCTTCTTCTTCTCTTATTTTTCTTCCCGTTTCCCTCTTATTTTTTTCCCATTTTCTTTTCTTCCTTGCTTGCTTGAACTATTGGAGAGAAAACAATAAAAAGGAAACGGCCAACATACATTAAATACCATTACGCATAATTTAATCTGATTGGCTAATGGTTTGATTTTCTTGTATACATGTGTGACGCCCCGCCTGCTCAAAGTCCCGAACGATCATGAGATAAGGCAAGCGATGCACGCCTTGACACCAGCGAGAGCCGACGGGCCGTTTTCAGGCAAAAGAGTGAGTCGTGGATTTCGTTGGTTGCAAGGCGTGCGTCTCTTGCCTTAGCTCATGATCGTTTGGGACTTTGAGCAGGCAGGGGTAGGAGCTGTGTAATTTGCATGGCATTCAAATTGTACATGGGAGAGGCTACCATCTTCTCCTTTAAGTTGTATTCTATATTTCCGGCGAGCATTAGTGCTGTATGTTCGACACTTAATGGAAAAACCAGTACCAGCCATCTCTTCTCCCGTCTCTGTTCTTAGTGTTTCTGTTTTCCAGTTTAGCATTCGTTT